AGACAGTGACCATGAGTTCAAGGTCACCAAGAATTAGTACCAAGCCCCTTTGAAAGACAATGTAGTAGGGCAGCTGGCAACCCAGCCAAAGAGACAAGGCGCTCCAGGAGAGAAAGCCCCAGAAGGTGGCGTCTGACTTTCTCAATCAAGGAATGAGCACACAAGCCATGGGGCCTCCGGTGAAACCCCATGGTCAAGGTCAAGGCTGCATGGGGTCACTGCACATCCTTTCTACGCCGTTCCTGAGGTTCACATCTCAGGGACAGGTGCCCAAAGATGGTTTGGCCATAGACAGACATGCTCTTAGATCACTGAAAGCTCTGAGCTGCCACTATCCCCTCGTCGCCTGTCAGAAGGCAGCTTTGTCTCCCCCCACCCCATGGCCACTTGCCCGCCAGAGAATCAGGCTCCTTTCTGTCCCCAGAGTGGTCAGCCGAACGACCGGAGCAGGGACAGCCTGTGGGGACCTCCGTGTGGCTCCAGGTCCTCAAGACGCAAAACCGAGGCTGGAGATGGAGAAATCAAGCCTGTTCACAGGCTGGTGGTGAAGGCTCAGCCACACCAATCAACAGCTTACCACAGGATTTCCCCTAGAACTTTCTGCGGTGGTGGAAATGTTCTATTTCTTATTTGGGGTGGTAGTCACGTGGGTATATGTCAAACACATTGAAGTGAACACGTAAGACCTGTGCGTTTTATTGTAGGTAAAATCTACCTCAGTTACATATAAGAAAAAAGAAAGATCATGATCATCTTTGCAGCTGCCAAAAAAATTCACAAAATTCAACACCCACTTCTAATTTGAAAAGAAACAAAAACTTAAGTAAAGGATAGAAAATATCCTCACCATACATCAGCCACCTAAAAGTGACACACTAAAGGCATTACAACTGCCATTATCTTTTAAATTATCTAAGTAACAGTGATCTTCATAGTATGATTAGGATAAACAAAAAGACTTCAACCAGATTGCGTTACTCAGAGACAACTGCTATAAACACTTCTGTGCACCTCTGTAAGGCTAGTATTTTTCCATGAAAATATATGTATCTATTTTTTAATGCAGTGAGGGGGGCATATTAAAACACATACTAAAATATCTTCTTCCTACCATAATTGTTTAATACTACTTTTAAAGCACCACCCAGAAACAAAACAAAGTATAAGCATTGGAAAAGATGAGACAAAATTGTCCAGATTTGCTACTAATAGCACATACCTTAAAATGCCAAAGAGAACAACTGGAGATCCATTCAAGTTAATAAAAAGCAGGTACAAAAACACTCAGAACTCAATGGTATTCTTACATATTGACAATAAAGTTAGAAAATTTTAATGGTAAAAGAATGCCATTCTCAATTGCAACAAGTTTTTAAAAACCAACAAAATCCATTTATATAAAAAGAAGACAAAGCTGCACTGAGAATGTAAAAGACCGGAATAAACAGAGAAATGTTCCTGGATGGAAAAAACTAAGTATTTTAATGGCATCAATGTTTTCCAAATCGATGTGTAGGTTTAATACCAAATCAAAATCTAAGCAGAAATGTTGGACTTTTGTAAGATGATTATTCATCAAGAAGAATAAACAGTGATTTTTTGTCTCATTTTAATTTTAATTAAAGGAAATGCTAGGGAAAGAAGAGGTGTCAGTAGCCCTTCCAGATTGTAATGTTCCAAAGCTAAAACAATTAAGACCCCATACACCAAAACTAGTTTTCGACAAAGAATTCTTTGATGAAGTGATAGAAAATGAAAAGAATACAGAATTAAATAGTCAGTGAAACTCTGGAAGAGAGTAACTTTTTTAAGTTTACTCAGAAGTCACGAAGCAACTCAAAGATTTGATCCCATAAAAATAAAAACCTCTATATGAAAAAGTTGTAGACCACAAACTCACAAAGACATTTTGCAGCAAATACGATATACAAAGAGTGGATATATTTATTATACAATGAACTTATATAAACTGGTTAAAAATACTAACATCACAATATATGAACAGAGGACATGAATGTTTAACAGATTTATAAATAGAGCTACTATTAAAAAACACTGAAAAGTGTCTCAATGATCAAGGAAATAAGTTAAAGTAAAAAAACTTGGTCTTCTACTGACCCATTACTTAGCGTACTTTAAAAATTATGATACTCAAAGCTAGTGTGTGTGTGTCAATGAAACTGGCATTTTCAACCACTACGTATAGCACTGCAAGTAACACGGTGACATCTACTACAAAAATTAAAGTTCATATTTTTCACATGGTAATTGTTTCTCTGAACCCACTTTAACAAGAGAATCTAAAAATAATAAAGGCAACCAGTGACACTGACTGAGCAGTCACTCTGATGTTCTAGGCACCGAGTGCTTCGCACACCTTGGTGTATGTACCTGCTTCCTCAGTCTTCTGGCCGAGAGCTCTTAACCACAAAGAAATATCCCTAATTTCAAACAGCGGTGGTGTTATGAAGGTAGGATAATAAGTGAAATTTCTTTATCTTACAATTTTACTTATAATATTTAAGGTGTTTTTTAATGGCTCTCAAACTCATTCCCTTGCTCCCTTAGGTCAGGGGACATTGGGACAACACGGCAGGGACAATTCTGTGGTTCAGTCTCCATGTCTGTTCACTGTGCTCCCCTCCCTGACTCACAGCTGGGGGCCTGGGGGCGGGTGGCCGAGCAAGTCCAGGCTGCGGACTCCTGCCGCTTTCACCTGCGTGTCTTGGGCACCTGGCTTAGCTCCCCCACCCCCAGCTGAGTTTTCCCATGGATGAAATACAGAGAAGCACGTCCACCTGATAGGCTGCTCGTGAGCATTAAGTGAGGAGGACCCGCACCTGCTGGGAACTTCCTCGGCCTTCTCCCTCCTCCCTGAAAGCCCTCTTCCTCGCCCTCCTTCTCTGCACAAGGTGGTACCCGGCCCTGTTAGTGGAGCCCGGGTGACTGTTTGGGGAGTTTACATTACTTTATACATGGTTACAGCCATCATTGCTCCAGTGACGCTAAGGTAGATGGAAGCTATTTACAGTTTTGTTTTGTTTTTTTGAGAGTCATGACTTATTTGGTGGATTTTCTGAGGACTTCAAACCCAGGAGACAGCCTCTCAGATAGCTCTAAGGGACTGCCTATTGACAGTTTTTAAAATGAGTTAACGCGAGCAAAACCTGAGCCCTTCGCAGCTGGCTGTCTGGTGGCCCATATCAGAGGCGTAGCAGTGGCTGAAGACAGGAAAGCCAGTCCTGTGACTTGGCCTGGTGTCACCCTCAGGCCCTGATCTCTCGACAGCCTGAGTGCCTCCCATTCCCCTGTGATGACAGCCTCCTCCAGCCGCATAGCCCTGGACAGGGAGGATCAGATAGTGGCAGAGAGGGGGAAAGAGGCAGCATGAAGTCCAAGGACACCTCATGCCAAGTCATGAAATGTGG